ACAAACAATTTTTGAAAGATCAAATATTTCAGGCGGAATTTGTGTGCGCACTTCATGTATTACCTGCTGTGCCTTTTCAACATCACTACCCAACGGGCCATTTAGCATCATTGTCAGCCCAATATCACCAGACACAAGCTTTACAACTGGAAGGCTGGAAGGAAATTCCTTTATCGGAATGATCTTCTTCCACTTTTTACTGGATAAAATTTTCAGAACCGAACCCTCAGCACTCCCTGTTAATGATGGAAATCTTTTTGGAGAGTCTTCCGCATCCAAGTATATCCGTCTCCCAGATTTTAATCTAAAGGGGGACTCCACTTGCAGTTTTCCACTCACTCCAACCTTGTTATGTGGCCAATCACGGCCAACGATAACAGTAAATTCAACATCAGAGACAACTGAGAAGTTTGCGTTTGGTATTGAAGCTTTAGACACTGTAAGGCGGACATCGCCAATAAGAACACGACTAGGAGGCTGACGAAGGGTCAAGCCAATGTGCCGACCAGTGGAGTACAAAAATCGCCATTTTCCAGGAAGTAATTCCAACCAATGCTGCGATTTGACAGAAATTGCATCAGTAATTAGTATGACAGCAATAGAGATATTCAATATTGCAATGCTAAGAAGATGACGGACACAAGTTACCCTTGGCTTTGAATGCAGATTCAACATCTCCATTAATTCGATAAAATGGGCAAGCCTTCTCCGCTGGAACACAAAAAAGACGCAACTTCTCAGTAAAATTCAAATTTAAAGTCGTACCTGCCCAACATGCACAAGGTAAGACTATCAACAATATTGGAGAGCACTTGTCTGCTGACAATATTTTACTCCCGGCAGGTGAATGTCCTTCGCAGAAAACTGTTTGGATAAAGTATTATTTGAAATAATTATTGTAATACTTTTTATGATGTGATGCATGTAAAATAAAAAGATGAATTGGGAAATGTGATTATAATGCAAGCAAAGTATTATTTAAAATAATTTGATATTCAAACAAATGTATTTCTATTCAAAAGTCAAAGAAGACCTCTTGTTTTCCTCAATTTAAAAACAAAAGCTCCATCCCCCTAGAAGAAACAAATATACTTTACTCTTTTATTTGTTACAGTAAATATAGGAAAGTAAAAAGTGTAAAAAAAAAAAAAAGAATGTACAAAGTGTGACAATTGGGTTGGTTTGACTGCTATACTGATAGCAGTTTCCAACAATCACGTTGCAATAAAAAATAAGCTGAAATGGCTGGTAAGAAATTTCTGAAACTGTTTTATGTGGCAATTCCTTGAGCCGATGTAATAACAATGCAACTCAAATCATAATTTGAGAAAGTACAATGAAGCAAATCTTTGTGCAACATATATAGATCCAGGTGTGTGTTTTTAAGGGTATAAAGTGGGTTTCCAAAATAATCAGTCATCATGATTTGCAGATCAAGACTCAGATTCTCCATTTACACAATTTCTAAAAGGATCTAATCATGATTTGATTAAAAGATAAAGACATATATTAACCACGTTTTCAGAGATGAAGAAACTTTAAGATTACAGCTGACAAAGACAGATTAAGATGAGTCACAGAGGAACAAATATTACAGACCTGCTGCTGGTTATAAATGTACTCCTCTGTTATTCGAACTGCAGTTGAACCGAGGTTCCATTTGATAATGTCCATTGACGGGTCTATCCTCCATCTTGGTCCACATAAGAAAGGATGTCTCAAGGCTTTTAAGCAACTGTTGTACAGTATATAATGAACAGTACCATGAGATGGCATGAAAAATGTTCAACTCCTAGGCAAGGGGATTACTGATAATCATTTACTAATTAGAAAAATTAGATTAGAGCGAATGGAATGGCTATTAGTGATGGTATTGAATCCCCATTCAAACTACTGACAAAATAAGTATAGCAGAAAATATGAAATGCTGCTGGTCATAGTCTTGTATCCTACTTCGAAAATCAATTCTATTCCATGATATCCTATATATATCTGTCCTCCACAGAGATCACAGCAGCGGTAAAGCTGGATGAGAAAAGCATTTGATGTCCCCGTGGCAAAGCAAGATGCGAGCTATAAGATCCCAATAATTATTTTTACAGCTTCTTCCCTCACAACTAACATCAATATGAAAACGTTGGAGATTCTATAAGCTAGCCTACCTTATTCTCTGTGAAGGTTTGGTTGCTAGGAGAAGTGATAGTAAGTTCCAACCTGCACCCCAATTTCTATCAAGTATCTGCAAGAAAGATATTTTAGCACGTTGTTCTCAGGGTGCAAAAGAGCAGAAGTGCAGCGACTTTGGAGAAGGGATTGAACTAACTTGGATTCCAGTATTTCCAGATGAGGAATTCCTATAGATAGTAGGCAATAGGAACTCACGCAAGCAGGAGGAATCATTTCCCTACATGGAATGGGAATTTATCACTAAGAATGAAAGTAAAAAAAAAGAAATTCATTGTCTAAAGAGTTTTTACCATGAAAGCCTTTCGTACCTTGGTGAGGAATGCTTTAAACTTCATAAATACCGATGAATCCATGAGTTCCGTCAGCACCATTTTAGCCATAATGTACCCGACACACCTAAAAAATCCCGATAAATTAAAAGCAAATCCATGAAAATGCTTGTGCTGACAAAAAATGACAAAAGGCATCAGAGCTGTTTTACCTCATGTCAAATGCAATCATCATCTCTCGCCGATCGATTTTGCTATTTAATGTCTCCGAACAGCTCTCATAAAGATCAGCAGCATTTCCCAGTATCCCCACCTAAGAAAAATAAAATTGGGCTATATATAATTTCAGGAGGTTACTAAGATATAGAAGAAAATGCTTGAAAACATGCTTTGTGAATTGGGTGATTTTTAAGAACATGACAACCGTGGTGGCTTTTGTGGTGGCTTTCAATATAGATATGTATGTCCATATCTAAGGGTATTCTTTCGAGGAATGCACAATTATGTATATGCACATATATAAGACACGAATGTTTACGTGGTTACAGCGAACCAAGTAGTCTACATAAGCTTAGAAGAGAACTGGATGTTTTCACATTTTCAGTCCAGAGTTCAGCAATACTAAATAATTATCTTGCCAAAGTCCTTGTCCGAAGAGGTGCAAGTGCACAGACATGCTAACTAAAATCTCATAAACGTCAGTAAAAGTCGAAATACAGTACTAAAGCTCTTAGCTTCTTTACCAGTATAACGAGGAAAAGAGCATAATCTCACTTTGATATGTTTATCCACAGGGCTAATATGCAAATTTTCCAGTCTCAACTCTGTATGGGCAAGTCCATGGCTGTGCAAGTAATTGACCTGAGGTGGGAATGCAATAAAAGCACTTATTAACATAGAAATGGAGTAAGCAACACAAACTGAACTGTGATTGTGGATAATACAAAAATTGCACAAATAACGCACCCCAATCAAAAGATCCCTCATCAAAACCCGAATAAGTCGCAATTGTCGAGAAACGGCAGGCCCACCAATAGTATCGTCACCCACTTTTCTTGCAGAATCCTCATCTAGAGCAAGAGTAGCTTCCAAAGTGGGAAACCAGTCAGATTGTTGGAGCCAATGTCTCAAAGAAAAACTGCCATGATACTGAAAAAGGAAAAGACCAAGAGTGAATATTGTTACAAAGTCAGACACAGAGGCTTACAGTTGAGTCAAAAGCATCTAAAAGATCATGTCATTAAGAGCATGACAGCATTCAGTCTGCACATTAAAACTGCATCTGGTCTCCTTTAGAAGGACATGGGAGATACAATCGTTAGCAGAAAAACATACTCATTGTATAACAACTTACTTCATATTTTGAATGAGCTCCACAAATTTTCAATCCAAAGGGGGGTTAAACTGAGAACACTAAATAACTTGATTGCAGCATTCTTAGTTCCACAGCAGTGCAGGTTTATAAAAACACAATTGCTCAACAAAAAGCAACCTACCCCATGGACTAGCGTAAATGCGCCAGTGTCACCAGTGGAAGATGAAGAGACATATCCATAAACTTGCATCGAGTAAGAATGGTACATTAATCTACGACGAGCCAATCTCCTCAACACCTAAAATCAGATTGCAGAAAAATTAAAGACTAGCGCCTAACAAAGCGTAAAATGAAATTGGAGCGGTTTTCAAGAATCAAGCAACCTCTATGGCTCTCCGTCCTCTGCGCTTAGCCTGAGCACTTGTGAGCCTCCGAAGCACAACTTTGGTGTTATATAATGGACTGCAAATGTACAAAATGTATATTAAAACCTAAAACAACAAGTCCAAAAGAAAATAATACAAACAAATAAAAATGGAAACCTCCTCAATTTATTGCTTTACAAGGTGGCGGGTGGTAGCTGAAAATCAACTTACTTATTAACATCCTTGACGGTAGCTTCGAAGATAACCTCGTCCGCCTGAATGTATGAAGGGAAAATATTAGGTAATTGAGAGAAAAGAGGAGTGGAGGAGGACCGGGGTAGGGGAGTGGGTACCCGGCTGGTAAGGCCAACGCTGACGCGGTCAGAGATGTTGAAGTCGGACATGTTGAACTTGATGACGTGACTAAAATCGTCCTCCGCAGCAGCAACGGAGGAATCATCGGGACTACTAGAAGCACTGCCGCTGTCCCCCTGGAATTCCGAGGCGGCGGCGGCGGCGGCAGCAGCAGCAGGAGGTTGTGGTCTAGGCAGCGAAGAACAACAGGCAAATTTTGATCTGCTGCTCCGCCGCCGGGGCGAATAACAAGTAGAAGAAGTGGTAGCACTAGTAGGAGGAGGATTACGGAAGGAGTGGTAAGTTGTAGCGTGGATGGGAGGCCGCCTGAAAAGATGATGATGATGATGACGACGGCGGTGGTGGCTAGGTGTTGGGGACGAATTGATGAAGCTGAAGCGGGAGGGTAGTAATTCAACAGCACATTCCGGACTCAGACTTGAGCAACAAATTCCAATCAACTCCATCATCTGTGTCGTCTATTCATCATCCACCAACAGAAGAGCCACAGGGGGGGGGGAGAGAGGTTTTGGTTGAATAATCGCTTGCTACTAACTGCAGTATAAGGAAATAAAAATAAATGAAGCTTGGATGGATGGGTGCAGTAGCCAGTGCCGGTGTCGATGTGCTAGCTAGCAATACTGCTGCTGCTGCTGCATATGTCCATGAACGGACACCAAAAATTCCAAAGCGGATTGGATTAGCCGCAACATACACTTCTTCACATGTTTTAAACGGATTCACTTGCCATCATCAAATGATCCATCCATCCAAACTACAAAGTCGTCTTTTTCACCTGCACCTCTACCTGTAGACTGTAGTAGTGCGCGCGCGTGAAATATGAGTATGAGCGAGGCGAGAAGTTGGAGGGAGGTTGTTGCAACTCTCTGACTCGAATGAATGATTCTGTAGTCCTGTCTCGTTGCTGAGTCGTAATCCTTATTCATTCCTGTATTATAGGGATAGCCGGATAGAGAAGGCGGGCAAGGGAAGCGTGACGCGTGAGAGTAGCGTGGTGGAGGAGGATTTGCTGCGTCTACGCACGGGTCTCCTCCCAACGCCCACACCCCTCCCTCCTCTCTTCTTGACTAGGAGTATTACTCTTCTACTGTCTGTCAGGGGGGTCCAATCCCAATGCCCAACAACTCCTCCCCCTATCCATCCAACGAAAACCAGCCCCCTGAATTTTGAGAATTTTGAAAATTCTAAGTGCTTTTAATTTTTCTTTAATTGGAGAAAAGGAAAGTGATTTTATTTATTTTTTAATAAGTGAGAAGTCTGGAACAACAATAATGTATAATATAATATTCTACAGTACACAGCCACATGGAATCAAAATAACCACACATCTTTCCCAATTCTATTTCTTCCATTTTCTTTCTTCTCTTTAAGTTTAAGCAAAACACAGGGTGAGAGAAAAACAAAAAAAATTCTACACAACATATATATATATATATCAAGAAATTGAAGAGGGACAAACATAACATAGCAAGAAGAAGCAGTTGAGTTGCCAAAATAATAGACTATATGACTATCTCCAACTGGTATAATTAGTCTAATAATACCAAAGTAAAGTTAATTGATTTGGGATTTAAACAAAAGCATTAGATATTGTAAGTATTATCCAAGCTATACAAAGCTGCCCGGCTTAACCTACTATTTTAAGGAAGTCAGAGCAATTATTACACTTTGGAGAGACTACCAAAAGTGAAAAGACAAAAAGCGAAAAGGAATAAGAAAATACATATTCCCCTTTTCGACCGGAAAGAAAAAAAAATAAAATAAAAATTAGTGATCCAGCTGTGAGGTCCGATAGGAGAGAAACCAATGGTTAGAGCTCCTTTGCGGAGAAACAATATAATGCCTGTAACTTTTGTGTCTACTACAAAACTAATTCATGAACTTTCGACAATTTGGAGCTTTACACAGACAAGGGACTCTGAATTCATCGCACTCGTCAGGATCGAACAAGTAATCGTACCTGCAACAATGTGGCCAAAGAAAGAATTCATAGCTGGTCAGTCTGCTTCTTCTCCTCTCTACAATGTATCAAGCGCAGAGAGAGAGAGAGAGAGAGAGAGAGGGAGAGAGTTTACGTTAATTCATCACCAGCAGCGACATTTGTCTTGGCAATAAGCACTATCCGGCTCTCGTCATCACCTACGCTCATGATCCTTGCATAGCAGTTCGGCATGCACTGTTCCCACCCAACACCAAGCAAACCAAAATGACTAAGCGCTAATCAGCTATAATAACTGCTAATCAAGAGACAGATAAGATCCCTCCCAGCCAAGGTAAATCTACTCTTATACCATTTCAATCTAATTAAACCATGTTCACGTATTTCATATTCTCTTGTTTTTCCCTTCCATTTAATCCCTACCAGTTTCACCGTATAAACCCTTTCTGCATTTTCTTAATCTTTTTTTTTTCTTCTTCATTGCACCGTATATATGAAAAAGTCCAAATGTACTCACTGAATGGTTAATTAACCGAGCAATGTTTCCCTTATCCGTGGCGTCTACTACGACTTCTTCACTGATCTTAAAAAGCTGCATGAGAGAGTGTCACAACAGTTTTTAAGTTTGAGAGGGTTGACTACAAGGGTTTTACCAAAGATATTCAAAAAAATGGAAAACATAGCAGTGTAAGCCAATGGTAGATTCGCGTACATAGCAGTCTTTGCCCTTATTGCGATACTGGGCCTCCCTCAGATCTGCAATACTGCGCCTGACCTGCTCTCCGCGATACTCAAGAACCTGGGGGCAACACAGCACATATCGTTTTTAGCAACTAAAACATAGTAAATACGGGAAATACAACTACCAAATCATGTCAAAAGAAGGTCCTCCACATAATGGAATTTATGAAGCAAGTCTAAAGCAAGAAGGATGGGCTTCTGTAAAATCATCAAAGGACCGAAATATGATATGTCAATGAAGAAGTAATAAGCTTAGACCAAATGAGTGAACGAAACACAATACATTCTCGACATGACTACAAAATTGTGTTGACCAGTGAAATAAGTTGAAACCAACTCAAAGGAGTTAAACATGCGGAGATCAATTGCAAAAGCAGATGTTTCCTAGACACTCATTCATTAAATGTCCGTAACAAGTTTCATTAGCCTGAACTCTTCTTTTTATAGTTCAGAATAAGCACAAACTCTGGTGACATGTACTCTCAGAACCATACTGCTATGCTGTTATTGACAATCACTGTTATAGGTTCGTTCATATCGATGCCATTCTAGATAATCATCAGACAAGTTACAGATTACCCAAGAAGCATCCACATATCCCCATTATTCCAATGTGTGCCAAATAGAGATCCTTCATGAAAATAATAACAAAGCTGAGCTCAACTTTGTCAATGCCAACTTTCTATGATGTTTAAAACACATACCATTTCTCCTTCTAGGATATTCCTACGAGCAAAGAGGCCCCATCCATGGATTCCAGATCTACCAAAACAAACACGTTCCATTTCCATTCTCTACAGTAGTAAATTAGCTATCATAATGTGAGAACTTGAATCGAGCCACTCATAACCACTTGAGTAAGAAATCCAAAAAAAAAAATTGCCTGTAAATGGCGAAGACGTTCGCGGAAAGTAGAAAAGGTCTTAGGCTCTTCTATTTCCTGAAAGACAGAGAAAGAATTAAGCATTTAAGTATAAACTCTAGATTCCTATGTGCAAAACAATGATAAGAAGCTTACTTTGATGGTATTCAGGCTCTGTATTGCATTTAGAGAGTGATGGCAAGGTCCCATTACTCTGTGGAAAACAGCCTCTTCGCTCGTTCTCTGGCCCTGGCAAAGCAGAGATCAAGAAGGTCAAAGATTAGCCAAGTTACAAATCTGCAATTGTTCAACCATTAAAACAATTGTACAAGATAACAATAGCAAAGCACATTGTAAGTGAAAACCATGTATCCTGACAGGAATGGCATCATTAAATGATTTATAGAAACACTATAACACATGATTTACTCATCAGAAAGGTCTGTCATTTCAAGGTTTCAGAAAAACAACAAACGACAGAAAAATGACTTCATCTCTGTGATTTGAATGTTTTAAGTACCTTATTATTCAATCTCTTGTAAATCCGGCATCTTGCAGCAGAGAGAGGCTCAACATCAGTAACCTCTGTACTTGGGGCTTCCTCAAGTTTCAATCTGTTTGATGAAATTAACCTAGAACAGGTATTCTTCTTGTTCTGGAGAAGACCTTTTGTAGAGTAAGTACCTTTAGGAGTCTGAATAATCAAAACATTATCTGGATTTGGAGCCCTGTACCAAAATGTATAGCCATGAGGCTAAATAACAGAAAAATCACATTATCCACCCCCCATCCATCCTTCCATTCCCCTTGCATTTACAATTCACCCATGAGATTCTAATTAATTTGACAAAGACACCGGTCAACCCATCCAACTGTGCTAAACATCCCCTCCCATTACTGCTTTCAGAATGATGCTTAATATGCCAAGGATGCCTCAGATAAGAAAAATGTAATGCAGGAAGACCCTTTACCCCTCTTCCTTTTTAAGACTTGCACAGCCTCCAGAACAGTACCTGTGGTAAGCGCAATAGGAAACCATTTTGGTGATCTGTTTCCCATTTTTCTCCAAGCAATGCAACTGCAAGTTTAGAAAATAAAGACTTTATAGCCTTGGTACTGATAACAAGAAAAAAAAAGAGCACAATCTATTAGAACTTTTAATCTAAATGCTTCAAAATCAGATTGATTATCATGTTCAACCTTTTGAACTTTCTTAATACACATTTCACACTAATTTATCTTATTTGGTACTAAAACCCATAAAAGAGTAGCATATGACAAAGCTCTAACAACAATTGGTACAAACAACCTCACCTCCATGCGATAGCCAGCCCTTGATGCACATGTTGCATGGTAATAAGTGGAACACTTGGAACATTGTGTACAGGAGCCATGAATTTGCTTGCAAACTACACAGATCTGGAAGGTAAAAAATCAATACCAGTTCTAGTGCTCACAGTAAAAGCTTCGTGTGACTGAATCAGATAATACTATGACATATATAAGCAAAAAGCAAGGCTTCATTGGTGCAACATACCAACAAATAAAAGAACTTAGTCCCTCTAAAAAACCTAGCCCTAGTTAACAATGTCAGAGTTCATCAACTAAAGTAGAATGGTTGAATTTTTAAATTTGAATGTCAAGCAGAAACTAGATGTGTTCTTCTGCAAAATTTAAGCAAAATATTATTCTACCTTGACAAAAGAATTTGAAGGAATCCTAAGGATGCCGATGGCAGGTTCCATCTTTTCATCACTTGCAAAACAAACTTCCGGTTGAAACCAAGCACATGTAATATGAACCCATAGAGGCGGAATATCAGTAGGCTTCATAGCACCACCTACATTTTCCAAGCAGTTATGAGTTAAGAGAAATAAAAGTTCATATCAATAATTCAACAGAGTCCCCAGTGATCCATTATAAGCACTTTTACTGACAGTTAGCCTATTCCCATGATAGCACATACTTTTGATACTCCAAAACATGCTTCACCCTATGCAAGTCTCTGTAAAATCAAAGTTGAGTAGAAAGGACAACTCAACACATTCTGCACAATGAGGCATAATTCACCAGTACTAACATGCGTTCATTTGACAAAGAGAATGAGGTAACGATGCTAGCAATGACTAACAACTCCTACTGGATAAAATATTTTTCAGAGATCTGGAAATTTTGGTTAACCATTTAAAGGGAAATAAAAATCTTCTTGACACCTCAATTTTTTAGCAGAAGGTCTTTTACGGCTTACTAGCTCATCCAATGTGTAATAAAACAAAACAAGTGTATAAAAACATATTTTCCCCGATACCAGAATTCAAAAACCACAATAACTCTGGAGATAAGAATTTAAGGAGAGTTCATGCCTTTGACAGGGCAGAGGCAGCAGTCCCGCTCAACATCAGGTGTCTCACAGGATCTACAGACCCATGAAGTGAAATCCTGAACATTTCTTGCACCATAGCATTCTTGATGAACAGCTATTTGACATCTGGTAGAAACCATAAGAACATCAAAAACACCTTTCTAACATCTTTTATTTGCTCATACAAAGCAATATTAGTTCTATAATGCAAACAAATCACAGGACGCAAAAATAAAGAAGAAGAAAAGATATGACTATTTAGCCCTCAGTAAATGAAGCTCTACCTTAACACTCACCTGTTGCATATGATGATTTTGTTGTAATCCCAATCTTCAACCCATCGGCATACTGCACACCTTTCTGTCGTCCACTTCGCATAAACAGGTTCATATTTCTCTGTTTAGATTACAAATACAAGTCAAATCCTACCCCCTCATTTTAACGAAGTCAATCGTTCCATCAAAGAATAACACTAACTACTTAGGAAAGGAAATACCTTGAAGAAAAGCAAGCAATTTCTGTCTCCTGACTTTAATGGAAGGGCGTTTAAGAGATTTTCCAGGAACCACATTGCGTGAATGATACTCAGCTACCTTCAGCATCTGCAAAACCAAATGGATCCTGTTAGAAATTCATTGGAGAGATAATATGAATGAACAATCATCAATCACTGGGAGTATCAGCTTATTTTACATTGGTGATTTAAACGAAAATATATGTATACACATTTCGGATGAGATGATTCAGGTTCATTAAAACAGAACCCAATAGTGCATTAACATCAAAGAAGCAGAACATAAGTTCCTAAATAAACCGATGAAATGTAAGAAGTGAAATAATGCGCTTGAACCAGACTGGCACACTTGATCTTCAAGTAAAGCATAGAGCATAAATGACATTTAAGGCATTCAATAAGATACAAACCCATTGCTCGAGTGGTATCATGGACCCTTTCACCCTGATGCTAGTCTTCCAGTTTTTAGTTTTGCAACCTGTATGTCGTTCCCACTCACTTAGTGCCTGCTTCTCAGTTCCACAAGAGCCACACTTGCAAACAACTCTACAATGTAGATCAAAAAAGTTGACAAAGTTCAGATCATAAAAATTTACAGAAATCAGAGATATCACACTGACTGCTCTGAAATATCTAAGAAATCAGTAACTGAGTGCTTTGCATTATTGCTTTCAGTAGTTAGTTTCATTCAACAACTCAAAAATTTAGAGGTTTTTGTACAATACAAGCACATTGAATCTTTTTTCTATCATCTTGCTTTCTTCCTCATCTTTCTTTCTCTTTCATAAGTTACAACATATAAAGCATGCGAGAGCCTCATTAATATCCAATTTAACTTACAACAAAAATAGTTCTTTATGATCACATCTACGCATAATCATCAACAAAACGGAGCAAGAAAATCAATTTAAACAGAGGGAGGGACCATACAATTGTATGGTGCAATACCCTATAATCATTCAAACTCCCTTGGATGGAGAAAATAATATTTGAAACCATGTTTAGTAGCAGACTTTAAAAGGTAGAACGAAAGAGGAAAAATAAAACTGGAAAACATCTGAACAAAATCTGATGATATTGCAACACCATCCAGGAAAAAATATGCATTTCTGACAAGTCAGATAGACATTTTCATTATGATTTCTGCTCTAATAAAATTACTTACATTCGACTTCCATGTATGAAATAACTAGGCATCGAAAGGCGACAACCACTGCCAGCAAAATAAATTTGAGATCACAACAAATACTTACAAGTGAAGGCTAGGAAAATAGATGCCTTCCACCCCAGAGCAGACAACATTGACTTTATCCGGCAGACCATTCTTCTTGTTATGTCTGAGTCAAGAACAACATCCCCATTTGATGTTCAGAGACCAAACTACAGAATGCATAAACATACAAATGATAGACAACACAGACTTACTTGGTTTTAGAGACCAGATTTTCGGAATCAGATAATTCAAAATTAAACCTTGCTTTGCATTCAGGACAATAATATTCGGTGGTTCCCAGATCCTAGAAACAGTATAACAAACATGTTAAATTCTCATTGAGAACCAGATAGATTTGCCAATTTGTTCGAATAGAGGCAAATTTAGAGATAGTGAATGAAGAGATGACCTTATAACTACTGTTTGAAATTTTGTCACACTCGGCATGCACCCAAACTTTACAGCCATCACAACGTACCTAATTGGTCAAGGAATTATAAATTGTGATATAAGAGAGAAAAGAAAAAGAAAATGAAGAAAACAAAGTATATAAAGGCATGATTTATAGATGTTCTGTGTGCGTGTGCGTGAAAGGAATTGGAACAATGTGGATATAGTTTGATTGTCTTACCCAAGTACCACTATCTGACTGATTCCAAATCTTCTTGCATATGGCACAGTAATGCTTCATTTTCTTTAACTGCCATGTGGAAACAAAAACACATGAAAAGACAGAATACCAAATTATAAATTTGTAAACCTGTAGGCAAAGGCATTTAACCAACCCGAGCGCAAGAAGGACACAGACGACTGCTTCCAAGATTTGAATCATTCAGTTTCTTTGGCATTTTAGGAGACATACTCAAGCCACAGGCCTCACAGGATTCTATCCCTTTCTTTCTGAGCCGCTCCTGCGCAAGGGAAGTAAAGATTAAGAATTAGAAGGAGCAGTATTTAGCTGTATCAAACCATTGCTATGAAGGCAAATAGAAGCTGAATTGGCTTTGAAGTGCTGGAAAAATGGTAAATTTTGAGAGTTTAATGCTGAAGGCATCAATATTTTATTGTTGAGACCAACTGTTCCCCATCCATCCAGAAATTACTGTGACATTGTAACTAAAATAGGACTCGCCTTATTCAATGAATTACACTCCTGATCCTGGTTTGAATCAGATGCCTCATATACCCCTCTCGTCAGAGACTGGAGATATTCTAAATTGCCCGCTGCTGCGTTGATTTCAACCATCAACATCTCGTTAAATCCATTTTCAGCCAGAAATGCCTCCTCTATGGCAGTACGCAGATCACTGGGCTTTCCATCATTCAACTCTGTCTGTCCCTGAAAACTAAACCAACAAAAATCCCACCACAATTATGGCATGAAAAAATTAGTTGGCGACTGGAATCAGCAAATGCAAGAAGCACGTACCTATCTACATAGTCTACAAAAGGAAATATCATCCCTCGTTTAACCCATGCATAATCCTGCTCATCAACATATTCAATGTCCATAAATACAAAGATCTTAGCAAGAGCATGTACTTACCACACACACATACAAGTGCCCAAGAGCAAAAACTCAGCACACTAAATATGGTAGATAAGATAACAAGCATAAACTTACCCTTTGCGTCCCATTACCAGAATAACCAAAAAACATCACGCAAATTGCACCAGCAACACGGAAATTCAGAACTTGTTGAGGAGTTTGTGTGTCCGTATCAAGGACAATAGCTGGCCAGGCAGGACAACGCCTCCCGGATATGGCCCAAACTATATCACCTGAAACAAAGTCATTGGGACCATATATCCTGCGTTTCTTTTCCACCTCCTCCTTAACGTATTCATTAATGCCACTCAAATATATACACTCTTCTAATTCTCCATCCTCCTCGATCTCTGCTTGTTGCTCATGCAAAGAAGTTAATGTACTCCGCGAGCTAGAATACTTCCTAACACCGTATCTCTTGGACCTTTGAGACCCCAATTCTTCCGTTTCATCCCCCAGATATGGAGGAACCTCACGACATCGGTAGTTAACCTTATCCTTAGTATCTCCACGAAGCTTGGAGTTTTTGAGATTGGCTCTTTCTTTATAGGGATTGAATTCAGGATCCAATGCCGATTCCTTCGCACTAGTTTTACTCTTCTCTTTCCGCCAATTATCAAGAACTGAGTCATTAAATCGAGAAGGTAGAACCTGAACTCGCCCTCTTGAAGTCCTCACCAAGGGCGGGCGAGGAGCCTCCTGCACTATTCTATCGCCGCTGTCAATACCCTTCAATTTTGACTCCGCCTCAGCCGGGCATAACGAACCTCCATTACACCAGGAAGCGGCCGTGGGCGCAGCAGCAACTCCGGCAACGCGCCCTTGTGCTAGAATACTCTGGATACCATATCCACTGAAAGGAATTACACCTGCGGCAACGTCACGGAGAAGACGCAGAGGATAGTAGCCGTTATTAGGTTTCCGTTTCTTCCGATTCCCAGAACTTTCGTCGTCCTCTGCACCCGAGTCAGCGACTCGGCAGCGTTTCAAAGTCGGCATTACCGATTTCAAGTTCCTCTTGATTATCATCTTCCTCAATTACCTCAATCACCAGTTCAGGCCCCAATTCCAACTCCCAATCTATCCTCGGATGCCCTAATTTTCCATACTTCGAACCCTAAATACTGGAATATGCATATAGATATAGCAGAGAAACTTGGCTCGCAAGCGAGAAACACTGAATTATTTCCCTCGGGGAAAAAATAGCAAATAGAATAATACGAGCAATCGAATTAAAGAATCGAAACTGGGTGAAAATATCGGCTTCGAATTAATAGAAGAATAGAGGGAGACGTCGCAATTGCAGAGAGGTTTGGTGTGTCTGAATAGGGGATCTCTGTTCCGCGCAGCTTTCTTTCTTTCTCTCTCTCTCTACAACAAGCAACTACTCATGTGAGAGAAGGAGAGACCGAAAAAAACACACAAATACTATGTATAAATTGTCGCGAATGGAAGTGTAGGTAGCCTTGGTATACTCGAATTGAAATAATGATGCAATATTTTAATTTTCCTTTTCTTTTTGGAAAGATTTTCTCGTGAAAGCAAGGGGTGATATATATATATATATATATGTAGAGAGAGAGAGAGAGATTTTGTGTATGTTAATGCACCTACTATGAGTCTGCTGCGGGTGCGGGAGATTGAAAAGGGGAAAAAAAACAGAAAAAGAAAAGAAAAGAATATGCGCGAGGAATGAGGATGACGGATTTGGGCCTGGAGTTGGTGCTGATCGAAGGAGGGAGGGGCTGACTGGCTGATGAGCTCATTTATAGTCTGACAAAAATTGTGGTATGTTGCGACTGAAGTGCCACGTTGGGGTGGGAGTGAGACCAAATTCTGGTGCAGTAGCAAACATGGCTTGGGATTAACGTTAGACATGGTGGTGAGTTTGGTTGTGTGGACTGGAGGAGTGTGTTTCTTTTATTTTCGGTTTTTGCAGAGGATTGCTCGAGAGCATGTTCCGAGGATGTTGGAGAATGGTCGCTAATGGAAGATAGATATTTGGATGCTTAATTTTTTTTTTTTTTCAAATTCTTTTTTGACGATACCTCTTTTTTTTATTTTTCCCGCTTCTCTTTCTCTTTCTTTTTTTTTGGGTTTTAACTTTTCTCCTTTATGGTGGTGATAAATAACTTTGGCTTCTCTGGTTTCTTGAGATTTAATTGATGAACTTTATTCGTACAAGAAATAGGACATGAATCGATTGATTATGGAGTCGGGTAGATTGGACAATCGATTATGGTTGGATCCCTCGTCGAATTTTGTCGGGAAACTCATCCTATCGGTTCGTTTGGGTTTTTTTTTTTTCGTTCTTTTTTTTTTTAGCTTTCTATGTTGAATAATTCGTGTTCTGTACGAGGATTAGAGACGCCTGTTGGGTGCCAGTAGCCAGGAACATGGAGGAATTATTTCGACCATTTTCATTCATGTTGGAAAGAGGCACGGCTCTATGGTACGATAGATTCGAGTATTCTTCAGTCTTTTTCTTTGGGGCGGAAGGGTTTGGGCATCTATCTGTCTATCTGTCTTCAAGCATAGGATGGGATCATGCCGGAGTTGGTGTCTGCCGGTCTGAGAAAGAAATGGTGCCAAGTTGCCAGCCACCAGACTACTACTAGCTTGGACGACCAAGGCGAGGTAAAATCATCATCAATCTTTTTGATACTGCTGCTCGGAGCAAAAAAATTTGATGTTGAATTACCCCCCTTTTTTTCCTTCGATTTTGTTTTCTCGTGGATGGTCTCCTTTCATTGGTCTAGAAATTTGGAGCAGCATCGGAGGTGCTTTAGATAAATCTCTGTAGCGTTACAATTAATAATTTTAATTGTCCGGAGAAGCTCTGATTTTGTCTAATGGGGCGGAAATGGTTCGATTCAGGAGAGCCTCCTTAGCCATTAGTGGGCTTGTAAGTTGGCCATGGTGGCGGTCTACTAGTCTACGGTAACAGCCAAGATTTATGCTGCACTAGAAATAAATAAAGCGATGGTGTATTGAAGAAAGAGGAGGGGCCACCACCCGGGCGGCTCTTCCGCTTTTGACCGGAGTTTTCTGTGGTTTTGAGTCACTTGAGTGCGAGTTTTAATCAATCGTGCATGAGATTAAGTGGCTATTGACCAAGATGAATAATTACGTAATTTGTCGAGAAGCGAGGTTTTTTTTTTTTGAGGGAGTAATTTCGATTTGTACTATGGAGGATGATTTCTACAGAGGTCAGGTGAGGTAACTTGCAGATAATAAAATCCGTGGATGACACCAAGCAAGCAGCAGCCCCCAAATTGAATGGTGGCTAAAGTTGGGGTGGTCTTTCTTTGGTTCTTGTTCTTGAATGCTGAACCGTACGTCTGACGAATGGCCAGTTGTAATGTAGATTTGGCCAGGACTCAGAAATATTGATTAGTAGGGGATTCTGTCTCTTTGCTTAATCCATCCTTACATTTTATTATTAATTTTTTGGAAAAAAAAAATTTTTTTTTTTTTTTTGGTCGCAGAGGATGATGGTAGTAATATCTGATGACTCTGGCTTTTGATAATTGAGCCGGGGACTGGGTGAAACCGCTTCTTCTTCTTCCGTGGCTTGCCCTTTGTCAGTGCTGGACTAAATTCGTCTTGGTTGCAGAGAGATGTCTGAGCAAAAGAACGGATTCTGGGCTGAAGCCTGTAAAAGGAGTACAAGAAGAAAGGTAAGCCGTAGAGCGAAGCCGTAGTTGGTAGATGTATTCCGGGATGCGGTGGTTACAGATAGATCGGCAGTAAAAGGATTTTGGAGGGTTTTTTTTTTTATTTTTGGGAATTTTCAACTGCTTTTGAACGGGAGATTTGTGCAGCAGCCTTTAGACTAATGCAGAAAGCGGATGTTGTGGATAATTTTAGTGTTCCATTTTCTTCTACTAATGGGCGGCTGGCTTAGTAGCAACGTGGTACTCCTACTTAGTAGTACTGTACTGCAAGGTAGTGGTAAAAGTTTCCGGAATGCCCAGTTGCAGTAATGGTGAGGAAGTGAGGCCTGCCAGAGGCTGAGGCTGAGGCTGACACAACCCAACAACCAAGCAGCCTGGCACTAGGAAAGATTACTGTGAAGAAAGAGTCGACGGGTTGAATTTATTATGCTTTGCATCCCTGAGGAGGTAACAACCAGTATAGACATTGGACAGAGACACTTTAAACAGAACTATAGAGGGGAGGCTCTTTAAACATGAAGGAGAGAGGAGGAAGGGGCGATGGTGAGTAATGAGAGAGGAGGCGAAGGGGGTGGTGGCCGCGATCGCGATTGTGGTGGGTAGAAGAAGAAAGAGGTCGTAGGACTTTTTTTTTTTTGGTTAAGTGTACTCGTGAGATATTTGGAGTGTTCTTGGGGTGTGTTGTTGTAGCATTTAGGTGAAAATTTGTATTTAGAGAAAAGTCTAAATCCAAACAGACTCCTTATTATTTATTTGGATGGTACGTTATTTGAGATAATTTTTTTAAAAAAAAATATTATACTACATTTTTAATGTAATTTATACGAAATAAGAGAGTGATTGAAAAATATATTAATGACGTAAGCAAATAAATTTATGTTACTAATTCACTGTTTAAACAGACTCATTCATGACTGTAGACTGGTTCTTGGTAGAAGAATTATTCTCTAGTCAATCTTGCATTTTAATGGTTTATTTAGTTTTTGAATATGAATGGTACCGTTAACTTAAAATTTTTCAAAAAATGAAAAAATTTAGATAAGGAAAAGATTAACTAGAATTTTTAGGAAGAGTGATAGGTTGGATAGTATAAGGGGAAGGAATGTTGTAATTAATAGGTTTGAGGTGCTAAGAGGAAGGAAGAGTGAAATAATCACATCTTTATTCTTAAAATCAGAAAATAAATTGTAGAGGTTTTGAGGGCCGCCATTTAGCTTCCAGGTACTAACTTCGAATCCTCACATCTCAATATGTGTAGATAATTGCGTATATTTTTAAAACAAGTTTCTTTTTTCCAATTGTCCGTCCCAATTTTATGATACTACAATGTATACACCAATACAATAACTGTACACACAATGATAATAACACTCTAAATTTCAATAAATTTTGATATTTTTTTAAAAACCATGTCCTATGATCAATTTCATTCATCCAATTTTAAATTAAATTAATTCTTACCATTAATTGCAGCCTAGAATCCAAACTTCGATTATAGGATCCAGCAGTAAAGAAAAGAAATAAGAAAAGAAGAGGATAGATCCATCATGGACGGAGGAGGAGTAGAAATATAAAAGAATGTACAACTTGGCCGATGGATGGATCTCAGAAAGGTCGCTTTCCGCTGCGCCTCTGCAAGTTTCCCAAACTGCAGACGCATTGACTTTTGATTTTATTTTATTTTTTATTGATAGACTTACACTACCCCTATGCAAAAGGAAGGGGGCCGGAAATGTCCATAAACAATTCGGAGAAAACTGTACTATTATCGGATCAAATGGATGTATTACATTGGACTTTGATTTTTTGTTTTTTTGTCAAACAAGATAAACATACATTACTTTATATTAAGGAGAGGGAGGACCTGAAGAGCTCTAAGGATAATTCGGAGGAAATTGAACCATTATCGATCTAACATGTGCGTAATCCAAACGGATGTCTAAGGATAATTCAGAGGAAATTGAACCATTATCGATCTAACATGTGCGTAATCCAAACGGATGTCTACGCATCTGCTTAAATTTTAAAATAGAGTTAAGAAAATTTGACCTGTCAACTTACGTAAAAATTTAAAACTATTTTGGTGCCAACTATTCGAATTCGAGAGTTGCTGGTTAGACGCATTGACTTTTGATCGTCCTCTTAAAATATAACGCCAACTTGTGCACCGCTGCGACATTCGTGTTGTTGTCTACCTTTCTTCTCCTTCCTGCTCTTCCCCGTGTCTAATTCCCTTCCGGCTTCCATGAAAATATCTTGAAGCACCTATCGCTCATCAGTATCTCTCTTTCCCACACAAAACCTACCTACATTGGTTGTTTGTAGGTATTATATGCACCTCGGAAACGACTTTGCCAGCGTCAATCAACCAACTGTAAGCAGAGGCTTTCAGTTGACCTGTGGTAATTGGATTGATCTTCACATATTTTTTCTCAAGTTTTTAAAACTAATTAGGGTTTTGTTTCGTTTATCACTTTATCGAATGCTACGCCATCGATTCTAATGTTACGTGGTACGTGCTTGTTACTGTTTACTTTTGTATTTCTGCTACGATGTTTATTGATTTCTTAATTTAACTGCGGAATGATGATTGTTATGAACACATGATATGAGGAGCTTTGAAAACGGAAAAGGGACATATGAAGTGCTAGAGGGCCAACAGATGCGATTATTATAGCTGACCTAATATTAGCGGAGATAAGACTACTGTTTTTTAAGTTGGATTTTGTGGACGAATGAAATTCATTCAAATAAAATTCCGACTGCCCACTAGTAGTATGTAACATTCCATGTTTCTGTTCAGTTCCTACTTCCTCAAAAATTGCATTTTAGTAGATTTTTGTGTGAAGACTGTGAAGTATTTAAAACATATTTCAATTTCCCGTGATACTTATAATTTGTCTAGAGCCTGTGAAGCATGACAAGAAGACTGTAATACGAACCTTTCTGAATTATGCAGCTGGTATATTCACTTTCTTTCTCTTTTCTTCTTCCCCTTTTTCACATTTTAGCAGAGTCATATCCCAGAATATCAGGAGGAAAAGAAGGAAGGGGCAGTTTCAACTAATGGCCTCTGACAGGGAGATTTTTAGTCTTTCGGGACCACTGAAGTTAACTGTGATCGATTGGTATGGCCATCCTTGTTAATAATTTGTTCGTTTAACTCGTTAGGTTTGCCTATGAGTTCAAACTCAAATGATGCGCGCAACTTTTCTATGGCTGGACTGGATATAGTTCTAATAGGATCTTTAAGAACCAGCAATCATTTGGAAGATGATTAACCTTTCAAATATCAACCATTAGGATGCGTTGTTGTCAGTATTCAAGGATCTGCTTTTCTGCCAACTAATAGCCTTCTATATATCTCATGATCAGAAGCAAGAAAATTTTGTGAGTTGTACAACTCACGAAATGATTTTCTGTCTACGGTGGATCAGTTCAGAGTCTTCTGTTATCCGCTCTTTGTGCAGTCAATTGTCCCTGAGAATAAAATTTGATGTCTTGCAGGACAAATGCCCATCATAGGAGGTCCATTGCGGCTAGCTTGGTTCAGGGCGTCTACATTCTTGAACGTGATCGGCAGGAGAACCGGCAAAGCGCAAATGCTCTTGCTTCTCCTTGGTGGGAATTCTTTAATTTCCAGCTAGTCCACGTGCTTGTGGATCCTGATGATCTGTCGTTCTTTGGCTCCATTTACGAACTGAGACTACCTCATTCCTCTTGCAACTATTTGGCTCAAACTCCTCCCAGATACGTCGTTGCTTTCAGAGGCACAATCACTAAACCAGGCAGCAGGTCACAGGATCTCAAGTTGGATCTCCAGTTCATGAAAAACAAACTTCAGCACAGCTCCCGTTTCCACCTTGGGTTGCAAGCTGTTCAGAACATTGTTTCTAAAGCTGGAGGTGCCAATATCTGGTTAGCTGGTCACTCTTTGGGCTCAGCAATAGCGTTACTTGTTGGAAGGAATATGGTTAAGTTGGGTTATCATCTTGAAACATACCTGTTCAATCCACCTTTCGCTTCTCTTCCACTCGAAAAGATAAAGAATGAGAAGTTGAAGCATGGCGCCCGCATTGCAGTGAGTGTCATCACTGCTGGGCTTGCAGCTGCAGTGAAGCTTAACAGCCAAATGCCACATCAGGACGATGAATTTCGTGTTTTGTCTGCTTGGATACCGTACTTGTTTGTCAATCCATCGGATCCTATTTGCTCCGAATATATTGGGTATTTTACACACAGGGAGAAGATGATGACAATTGCCGGTGGCAAAATTGGAAGGATTGCAGCACAGAACTCCATTGCGAGTATCATATCCACTGCTAGGGGGAATAAGAGCGAAGCATGTCATCTCCTTCCTTCTGCATATGTAACGACTAATCTCTGCACTTGTCAGGATTTTAAGCAAGCTCATGGAATTCACCAATGGTGGAGCCCGGATCTTCATCTCGAGTACAAGCTGCATCAGTACAGATGAAATTTGTTGATTTTGAAGGAAACGACAGACAACTCCTTTTGGGGAACCCGAGTCAAAAGACTAGCGTGTGCTTTGTCACGTTCATCTTGGGATTTGTTTGTCCAAAATTCATTTGTTCATTGTTTTCCCAGTCCGCTTAGGCTGGCCAAACTCGTACCTTGAATTAATTGTAAGATTTCCCCCTTGATTCAAACGACATCATCCATTCTTGAACTATCAGCATGAGCATGGGCACAGTGAAAGATCAAATAAGGAACATGGACGGTGAAGAATGCCAATCAGATTTATTTAATTGGAGTATTTGCTTGTCGAGTGATAGAGTGGTTATTTTATTTGATTTATGGTTTTATCATTCAAATCATACATCAGTGGAAATCGTTTATCGTTAAGAGTCAATTTCTAATGTGAGTCCAAATCATTCAGGCCTAATTTTTTGATGGATCTAAATACCAATTCAACTTGTTGCACTTAGGCCGTAAGAATTTCTTTACGCGAGCCCAAAGAAGTCAGGCCGAATCATTCCTTTTCTTTTTTTTTTTTTTTCTAAGATAATAAAAAAGCATGGAAGGGTCCGAGTTCCGGGTGCACTCACTCTGTTTTTTTTTTTATTTATTATTTTCAATACAGGAAATATTTTAATTTTGTCAGACTAGTTTCCCTGCGTCTACCCCTAAGGATACACAAGCGGTAGAAAGGTGATTCAAACACTCGATCTCATGACCTAACTAGATTGCTCCGAGACCATTCGAACCAACCTCGAGGGACGTGCATTCACTATGTTATAAATACCAAAATTTGTGTTAGTGGTGATGGCATTTCCAGACTTTTGTACCGAATGGACTCCCGAAATCGTATATCTGCTGTACTTTTGTTTAGCAAACCGGACTAGAAAGTACTCCAAAGAGATGCGGAAGTTTCATAAAATTGACTCGGCCGCATCAGGTGCCAGCAAGGAGGCAAGAATGATTTTAATTCAGCGCTGCTTTTGCCGGCTCTGCTCAATCTGGATAGAATATATATACATACATATTATAGAAGTAGACACATTTTTGCATGGACCACCCACCTTGATGATGGCGAATTCAATCGAAATTGATGAATCAACAACCATATGTGCTATGATATGCGTTGCAGTCTGGCAGATTGGCACATTTTTTAGTGATTAATTAGAATGGTAGGGACGCGAACGCGACCTGCGGAGCCATCCCAAATTTTAGCCACCGCTGCATTAAGTATTAACACAACACCCACCTGCAACTGCCGGCGCAAACCTCTCATGTTTTCCACCAGTTTCGTTCGTGCCAACAAAATCTCTTCCTGGCTGGCTGCATCATTATTATTATTGAGGGTGTTTACACTTTACACACACTACTCTACTGAGTAGTGTGTGTGTGTGTGTGTATCCGTAATCGTCCTCCCATCCCATGTGGTGGTGGTGGATGGTATGTCCGATCAATTGATTCGTATGCTATCACGAATCACGATTACAATTTAGCCATGCATCTTTATGGCCCATTAAGATTGTCTCTTTAAACAAAATTCATCATCTGGCTAAGGGTCCTGCGGACGGCATTCACTTTTCAAAGCTTGTCTCTTTGAAAAAAATTCATCATCTGGCATCTGGCTAAGCCCTGAGGGGGTCCTGTTTGACGGTATTCGCTTTATTATTATCTGATGATTATCAGCAGCTTCTTGACGTTGTGCATGTGGGCAATCAATTCGACTTATAACGATGGTTGTGTTGTGTTTCTCTTCTTTATTTTCACCGCGTTAATTTCGCGGAAATTTTTACTATAAACGGGATTGGGATCGGGAGATCAACAAAGTCCTCTAAAACTTGATTAGCACTTTAGAACGATGATGGTGGTTGTGTTGTGTTATATTGTTTGGATTAATTTTCTATACACCGACCGACAGTGTATACACTTTCATCATTGGATACACGACACATAATCCAAATTTGCATTTGAAACTTAAATTTTGCATATGTGTCATGAATCCAACCGTGATAGTACATATACACTATCAATGTATATAAGATTTACCGTTCAGGCGTGCGGTAACAGCTATCGACTAGTAGTATAAATGAATAATTGCTTTGTATTGTGGAAACTGAAAAGGCTCCATTTTCTTCATGCTACCCACCCTTTACAGAAACGAGAGGCAAGTCGCCATCCAACAGAAATTCTGGGTCACTGATCAAAAAACGACGCCTGGCTTGTTTAGCAAAGTCCATTGGCTTGTCAAAAGCGATTAATTGCTTCAGTTAATCACCGGAATCATAATTATTATTACGTTAGATGTTGATTTCTTCCTTCCTTCACTCGTGATCATGACTCATTTGGGACCCCTAAAGAGCACCTTTTCCCCCCCTTTTAGGTTTCCTTTTCATGTTGTCAATTATACATGATTTGTGGATTGTGGTGAATGGAATACACATGATTCTTCTTAATCCAACTTAATATAGAGTAGATGATGTTCCCAAAATGGAAGTGAGTTCAGGGGCTTGTATCGTCATCAATAGTATAAATGTGGCAAATACGAATGAGAAGGAAAGTGAAGGTGAAATTAGGACCAGTTTATTCATGCTGGTTGGCATGTTAGATTTTCGCTTTTGAATTTTCCCTTTAATCGAACCCAAGTTTTCCTCCTTAAGCTGACCCCATAGGTTTTACATCTGCTCATCTGTCTACCGCTTCAATGCCAAATGGCCCAAATCAAATGGAGGAGATTCATGTGTACGATAGATTGTGAATATAAAATCAAAAGGCTGTGGTCAAGTCAACCCATGTGATTGGGTTGGGGCTATGTTTCTTTGGTGTCCCCATAACCATAACTGTGGAGATGTGCACATACTTGTTTGTTTAGAGTCGATAGACCACCTCAGTTCTAATTACCACAACCACAAAAGGAAGGGGAAAAAAAAAAAGAAGCCTTGGCCTTAATTTCTTCCATTTTGTTTTCTAGTTCATGTTTAGTCTTTTTTGCCTTTTTCATTTTCAGTACAATAATGAAACTGAGGGTTCTAACGAGGGCCGAGGAAGAACTTAGGATACAGAAGAGGTAATCGCCAATACTGTAATTATCATGGGCATGAAAGGGCTGTACACATACAATAGCATGTCTGTGATTGTTTTTTTTTTTTTTTTATAACTCACAAGTATTCGCATCCATTTTACAGTGTACGACTAATCCTGTTCGAGTCGGATCGGGTCCTTACAGAAGAAAGCTCTCCCAACATTGTCTTTTTCATTCTGATGGATTTCGAACCCGACATCTCATGATTAAGAGATGCAGACCCTTTCGCTTAAATCAAATGTAGGTGCATGTCTGTGACTATGAGAACGTAAGACGCTGAACCAGCGTCCGGTGATAATATAAAATGCTGGAAGGGTTTCTTTGTAGTGTTATACTCCCTCCGTCCCAAAAATTTCATCGCACTTAGAAAACTGTGCCTTTTATGAATAGTTCCAGCATAGGTGAGTTGCTTACCGTTTTGTCCCTCGCCCAAGCTCTTCGTGTAAATGCAATCGGTTATGCCAATTCAAATTAAAGCCTAAACAACTTCTGGATGGTAGGACCAGAACTTTTGTTTTGTTTGCACATATCTTGTGCGTGCTTTGCACGCTGAGGTTTCAACCAAGTTTCTCATGGTTTTTCACTCCACGCACATATTCATATGGGCTTTTCAAACACATGAATACTGAACAAGTGGGCTCAAAGGGCACACATAACTTGATTATTGTGGGGACCAAAAAGGGTAAAAGAGTGAAAGTGAATGATAAGTCTTTACTATTTTTAGCAAGTGACAAATATTTTGGGACAGCCCAAAAAGGAAAGTATAACACTATCAATGGGACGGAGGGAGTATTAGATTTAGTCATGAATGCAGCTACAAAATATAATAATAGTAGGAATCTGAAAGCCGTCTCACGAGACATTAATCAAGCTTTGCATTTGTGGTAGGGATGAATTGGGAACGAAAGTGAGAGGTTGGAATTTCGATTCTTTCTATTTACACTATAGGAAAGAAAAGAAAAGAAGCTTAGCTTTGCGTTGGATATGAATTACCTACTGAATGGAGTAATAATAATGCAGCATCCTTGGACCTTAATAATGCATGCGTAGACCAGTTTGTGGCAGTGGGGACAGTCGATGTGCTGTTAAATGTCATCACAATTGTGTTTGTCAGCAATTCTCTCTCAGTCTGCATTCGCCAGCTCAGTTAATAACTTTACAGTAAGTTTTGTAGATTACAATTTATCCAAACTTCGCCTTGGATGTGATATTCTTGACTTGACTACTTGCATTAAGGCCGGGAACTTTTTTTTTTCTCGGATAAAAATCAAATTATTCAATGCGATCTATGATTAGGCGGATAACTAATACCCGTATCATTTTGAGCAATGCCCAGACTCCAAAAGCTAGCCATCACTAGCTATTAGCGACCATCTTAGATGATAATCAAAAATTTTCAAACATCAGCAGTTTACGCGATTTACTTGGGCTGTCAAATTTACTTTGTTATAAATTTTCATATCTTTTTTTTTTTTTTTTGAGGGAAAACATCAATACTTTCATTCATTTAAATCAGCAGATACAACTGTAACTAAAAAGTAGAAAAAAAAAATTATCCCGCCGTACAAATGTTCGCAATAATATTCTATTTAAAACAAGTCATACTGTCGAGTTTAGTGGCAAGAGCTTACCCTAGATATCAAAATAGTTTATAATAATATTGAAAATTTGTTTTGTAAATAAAATTTTTGAAAATTTTAAAAGACGAAGCAACAAACGGTGATCTCAAGATTGAAGGGCAAATTCGTAATATGAACTTAAAACTATTAAAACAGAGAATCAGAATATGCATAAGATTTATTAAAATTCGTAGAAGATTAATAATAAGTTTTTTGAAGTTCACGGGGCTGCTACGCTTCCGGTGCCCATTGACGTCGCCCCAGCTCATATGCATGTTGATGTTACTACTAAAAAAAAGAAGTAAAGAGCATTTGATAGCAATGGGTGTGTTTGGATCATTTGATAGCATTTGGGTGTGTTTGGATAGGAATTAGTACTCTGAAAGCATTTGATAGGATATAATATAAGGACAAATGGTAATATTCACAAGTCACAACTGCATAAGGGGTGGATCACACCCCCAAACCCCCCCCCCCCCCAGAATCACACACACAAAAGGAAAAAAAAAAAAAAAAACCCTCTTTTACTTTCTAGAGAAATTGATTGTGGGATGGCAGAAATGACGCACAATCATCGCTAGCACGATTCA